GTTTCTTTGTCTTTGGTTTTGGTGAGTTTGCTGATGATATGTGTTGGTGATTTTGTTTTAGGGTCTATCCTGTTCATTGGACTTCCTGAATGGATATATTCTCATCTTTCATCATATCAGGGAAATTCTCTTCCAACAATTCTTTGACAATTTTCTCTGTGGTTTTATTTATCTTTTCCTATTGTAGAATTCCAGTTACACATAGGTTATTCCTCTTGATGGTATCCCACATGAACCTTAGGGTTTCTTCATTTTATTTTGATCTGTTTTCTGATTGACCCCTTTCCAAAGAAGTATTGAAGTATTTATCTTCAATCTCACTAATTCTGTCTTTCATTGATTCAGTTCTACTCCTTTGCCTGTTCAATGTGTTATCTATTTCTGAAAATTTAGTATTAATTTGCTGGATTTCTGTCTGTAGGTTTTGTATCATTTCTAATTTTTATTTATTTTGTCATTTTGTTCTTATATTGTCTTCTTGAAATTGTTCTAGGGTTTTCTCTGTGTTTTCCTCAATTTTGTCAGTTTTTGTCTTGATCTGTCTCTCATTCCATTGAAGGTACCTGTGGTGGTTAAGTTTGTGTGTCAACTTGGCTTGCCCTGGTTGAATGGCTGGGCAGCTGAATGTAGTTATTCCCCATGGTGAGATTGGTAATTAACTCCATACTGGAATCTATTGGGGCAGCAGAGTAGCTGCTTTGGGTAGTGGTCTGCTTCCCATATATAAGAATCAGCTTTTGGATTGGTCTTTAGCTTATGGCACATTTGAACCCTGCATGTAGCCATGTTGTTGTTCAGCAGCCTACCATGCTCTGCCGATCTTGGGACTTTTAATAGACTTGAAATAACATCCTGCTGTGTGGTTTGGTAACATCGGGAACGTGCCTTTTTACTTGTCAGCCTTGGGCTTGTCAGCCTCAGCCGCTGTCTGAGTGAAGCTTCAGTGGGCTTGGAGCAGGAGGCAGAGCTAAAGCCCAAGGTTGAGGGGTTTTCACCCAGCTCCTAGAGCCTGGTACTTTGAACTTGGACTTAAAGCCTCCAAACTATAAGAGAATAAACTTGTTTGTTCAAGCCTTCCCATTCGTGGTATATTCTTGTCAGAGTGGCACAGAGTTAACCAGAACAGTACCTAAATACAATTCTTTTGAATTATATTCTTTTGAACTCCTTATCAGGGAGTTCGAATGCTGCTTCTTCCTCTGGAATGTGTTCTGGGTCTGTATTCTGGTCCCTTGTTTCTCCTGCTTTATGTTGCTTCTTTGTGTGGACTGTGATGCTCTGTTGTCTCCTAGACATTGTGATTTTTTTTTTCTGTGTTTATATTTAATTGGTGATTGTATGTTGGAGTGATTTGCCCAAGATTTTAATTTTCTTTGGATGTTATCTAAGTAAGCAGGATACTGTGCTCCTCTATTAGCTAGTTGGCAGCAATTATACACTCACCATATGAACCTTGATAATATCCCTCCTGAACTTAGAGTCCATTTAAAGAATAGATTTGATGCATTGAACACCAGTGACCAAAAACCAGAGGAATTGTGGGATGGCATTAAGAACGTCATCCATGAAGAAAGCAAGGGTCATTAAAAAGACACAAAAAGAAGTAAAGACCAAAATAGATGACTTGTCCTAGAGCAGAGAGTAGCTAAAGCAAATGGAAGAAATAACAATATAAAAGAACTGAACAGAACATTTCAAAGAGCAGCTCGAGCAGACAGAGCCAATTCCCATAATGAAATATGCAAAGACCTGGAGTTAGAGAACCAAAAGGGAAGAACACGCTTGACATTTCTCAAGCTGAAAGAACTGAGGAAAAAAACTTAAGGGTCAAGTTGCAATACTGAAGGAGTCTATGGACGAAATACTGAATGATTCAGGAAACATCAAGAGAAGATGGAAGGAATACACAGAGTCACTGTACCAAAAAGAATTGGTCAGTGGTCATCCACTTCAGGAGATGGCATATGATCAAGAACCAATGGTATTGAAAGACGAAGTCGAAGCTGCACTAAAGGAATTGGTGAAGAACAAGGCTCCAGGAATTGCCGGAGTACCTTGTGAGATGTTTCAGCAAATGGATGCCCCGTTAGAAGCACACACTCAGCTATGCCAACAGATTTTGAAGACAGCTACCTGGCCAACTGACTGGAAGAGATTCATATTTGTACACATTCCAAAGAAAGGTGATCCCACGCAATGTGGAAATTGTAGAACAGTATCAGTAATATCACATGCAAGTAAAATCTTGCTGAAGACAGTTCAAAAATGGTTGCAGCAGTATATTGACAGAGAGCTTCCCAAAATGCAGAAGAGGACATGGAACGAAGGATATTGCTGATGTTAGATGCATCTTAGCTGAAAGCAAAGAATTCCAGAAAGATGTTTACTTATGTTTTATTGACTATGCAAAAGCATTCGATTATGTGGATCATAATAAATTGTGGATAACATTGAGAAGAATTGAAATTCCAGAACACTTGATTGTACTCATGAGGAACCTGTACACAGACCAGGAGGCTGTTGTTTGAACAGAACAAGAGGCTATTGCATGGTTCAAAAAAAGAAGGGAGTGTGTCAGGGTTGTATCCTTTTACCATACTTGTTTAGTTTGTATGCTTAGCACATAATCCGAGAAGCTGGATTATATGAAGAAGAATGTGGCATCAGGATTGGAGGAGGACTCATTAACAACCTGTAATAACACAGATGACACAACTTTGCTTGCTGAAACTGAGGATGTCTTGAAGCACTTACTGATGAAGATTAAAGACTACTACTGTCTGCAGTATGGATTATACCTCAATATAAAGAAAACAAAAATCCTTACAACTGGTCCAATTAAAAGCTTCATGGTGGATGGAGAAAAGTTTGAAGTTGTGAAGGATTTTGTATTACTTGGCTCTACAATCAACACCAATCGAAGTAGCAGTCAAGACCAGACAATGTATTGCATTGGGCAAATCTGGTGTAAAGGAGCTCTTTCAAGTGATGAAGAGCAAAAATGTCTCCTTGAAGACTGTTGTTGTTGTTGTTGTT